ATAACAAAATGAGTAATTAAGTTGATAATTCACCGTTGGCTTGCCTGACGGCGACGTTGGGCGCCATCATAGCCTATAGTGGATTTTGGGTCGCGACAGCAATTGCGAACCCCAGTTCGGAAAAGAGACACCTGTGACTGGACAAATAGCTGAGGGACAGGATTTTTTAGTTCATTCTCTCATTTTTGAACCCTAGACTCGGTAAGGAGACAACTTGGAGAGGAGATTTTCACCTATAAACCTTGGGTAAGTGATCCTAATCTATTTCTAATCAGTGTTTTGACAATTTCGGTAGGTCCGTATCATGATTTGGGACTTGGGCGTATGCCCGGAATCGAATTCCGAGGTCCCTAACTCGAGATATGGAATTTTGAAGAAAAATTAAAAGCTTGAAAGCTTAATGATTTTTAAGAAATTACTGATATTGAATTTATTGACCCCGGATTCGTATTTTGGTTCCGGAGCCCGGTATAGGTCCACTATAAAATTTATGACTTGTCTGCCAAATTTGGTGAGAATCGGAGTTGATTTGACGTGATTCGGACGTCCGATTGTAAAAATATATGTTTTAAAGCTTTCTTGAAAATTTCATTTGATTCGGTGTCCGATTCGTAATTCTAGGTGTTATTTTGGCGATTTGATCGCGCGAACAAGTTCGTATGATATTTTAGGACTTGTATGCACGTTTGATTTGGAACCCCGAGGGCTCGGGTGAGTTTCGGATAGGCTACGGGATGATTTTGAACTTAGAAAAATCTAGTTTTTAGCTTCTGCTGTCATCTGGTGTTTTGTTCTTCGCGATCGCGAAGCCATTCTTGTGATCGCGAAGAGGAAAGTTGGACTGGCACAATTATGCTTCGCGTTTGCGACCGAGGGCACACGTTCGAGGGTCAGAGTGTAAAGCTTCGCGTTCGCGATAGAGTCCTCGCATTCGCGAAGAGGAAATGAGGCAGAAGTTGGGGTACTCAAATTTGTTCTTCGCATTCGCATGAAACGGTCCGCGATCGCGTAGGTCTGCGGGGTTATGCTTCGCGTTCGCGTGTGTGATGTCGCGTTCGCGTAGAGCAAAGTGGCAGCCTGTGCAAAAATGTGCTTTGCGATCGCGAAGAGTAAAATGAATCTGGGCAAAGTTGTTCTACGCGATCGCGAACGAATTTCCGCAATCGCGATGAATAAAAATATGAAAAACAAAACTTAAGTTCTAGAAATGGGGTTTCGACCCATTTTCAACCATATCTAATTTTTGAGCTCGGGTAAGGCGAGTTTTGGGCGATTTTCACGAGAAAATATTGGGGTAAGTGTTCCTTATCCTATATGGATTATGTTTCATGATTTCATACTCATTTATATCATAAATCCTTGAATTTATGAAAGAAAAATCAGATTTTTATAAAATCTTCCAAAAATAAAAAATTAAGATTTGAAGGTCCATTTGATATTGGAATTGGACAATCTTTGTATGGTTGAACTCGTATCGGAACGGGTGTTCGGATTTTGTGAGTTTTTCCGAGATTTGAGACGTGGGTTCCACTGCCAAATATTTTAATGAATTTCATATTTTTATCCGAAAAATTTGTAAATTCATATGGAATTAATTCCTATGATTAATATTGAATATATCGAACTGTTTGTGAATAGATTTGAAGCTTTCGGAGACAAATTTAAAAGGGAAAAGATGTGGTTGAATAATTGATCGGAAGTTGCAAAGCGAGGTAAGTGTCGTGGTTAACCTTGACTTAAGGGAATAGAACCCTAAATTTATGTGTTATGTGAATTGCATGTGAACGACGTATAGGCAAGGTGACGAGTGTCGATACGTCGTCAAATTAATTGTTTGGCTGTTTACTTGAAAAATCATAAATTATTTTAAATCATAAATTATTATTATTATTATTATTGTTTCTCTCCTATTCTTTGTCAAATATTAATTCTTGAATTCCTGTATTAATTGTTACATGCTATTTGAATTATGTGTTTTAATTGTTATTTGACATTTAGCATATTAAATATTAAACTGCCTATTTTTTCCCTGATTTCCATAATAATCTGCTATTTTTCATTGTTTGTTTCATAATTAAATCATAATTATTGTATGCTTGTTGTCTTATAATTTTATATTAATTATTGCATTTATTGGGGAAATTTCTTCTATAAGGATTGGTAAATGGAAATATTGGAGGATCGGGTTGCACGCCGCAACAGACTTATTAAAAAGTCCATATTGGAGGATCGGGTTGCACGCCACAATAGACTTATTAAAAGTTAATATTGGGGGATCGGATTGCACGCCGCAATAGACTTATTTAAAAGTCAATATTGCGGGATCGGATTGCATGCCGCAACAGACTTATTTAAAAGTCTATATATATACTTGATTGAAATAAATATATGACAGACTTGATAAAAAGAAATATATATTGGGAGAGCGGGTTGCACGCTGCAACAGAATTGAATGTGAATATATTGTGAGAGCGGGTTGCACGCTGCAACAGAATTGGTTGAAATGATAATGAATTATGACTGTTGGGTTGGCTTCAATTATTATAAATGGGTTACCTGATTTATTTCTATTTATTTGTTGTTGTTATTAATATTGCGTACAGATTAATGTAAATGAACCGCCTTAGCCTCGTCACTACTTCGTCGAGGTTAGGCTTAACACTTACCAGTACATGGGGTCGGTTGTACAGATACTATACTCTGCACTTCTTGTGCAAATTTCGGAGTTGGTCCCAGCGGCGTACCATAGACTTGCTCGGATTTCAGCTACCAGAGGAGACTTGAGGTATAACTGCATGGCGTCCGCAGTTCTGAAGTCCCCGTCTATTTTACTTTAGTTGTGTGTTTATTTCCAGACAGCTTTATTTTATTCAGACCTTTATTTTTATTTATTCTAGAAGCTCGTGCATTTGTGACACCAATTCTGGGATGGTATTTAGACACCGTTGCATTTATGGATTATTTCACTATATTTTAAATTTTGCTTCCGCTTTTGTTTTCTTGATTATTAATAATGTAAAGATTATTTAAAAATTAGTTAATATTATTCTAACGTTGGCTTGCCTAGCAAGTGAAATGTTAGGCGCAATCAAGGTCCGAAGGTGAGAATTTCGGGTTATGACAATTTCGAGTAGGTGTTATTGGAATAGATTGGGTACATCTTAATAAGGAATGTGAATCCCAATTTTGGGAGGATTTAATGGAGATTTTATGCGGTTTGAATTGAAAATTGAGCCAAATTCAAAGTGCACAAGATGAACATGGAAGATGATGATATGTGTATCTCACTGTGTATCGCTAGTGTATTATTTGTGTATCACTTGTATATCAAATATGTATCTCTTGTGTATATCCATGTAGTATGTGAGATACATGTTTGATTCATAAACTCGATTTCAACTATGAATTTTGACTTAAAACTAGTCCAAATACTTCCAATCTTTCTCAAATTTTGTATATTCACTCATCTATTTATTTTCAATAAAATTCAATTATACCTAGTAAAAAAGGTCCTTTTTTGCTTAGGTTTTTGGAATGTTGTATATTCTTTTACTTTATGTTTCATCACCTTGTTTGCTACCTCATCCATGAAAATTTCTTTTTATCTTGCATCTAATGTTACTGATCACGCTTTAAAATATGGAAGAAGATCTTTGCGCATGATTCTCGGAGGGAAAGAATTCTTATTTATCTGAGTTTTTAATTTTTATAACCGCTTGGCTAGTTTTGGTAAGTTTGTAACTAATGACTAGAGGTTGGTAAATTTAAACTTATTTCGTTTCCATAAGATTCTTGTGTAAGGAAAAACTACCCAAATTGTTAGTCCATAAACAATTTCAGCCAAAACTAGCCCAAAACAAATATCTACCTTAAAAGGCTCAAATGTCATTTTAATCCAAACAATTTTCACTTGATGTCAGTTTTTAAAGGATCCATTATTTTTACTATGTATACCTTTGAACAATATAGTTAACATGATTTCAAACACAATTGTTAAATCACTATTAAACCTTAGTTTGTTGGATTAGGTCGAAGAATTCAACTGAAAACGCCCTGGACAGCCATTGAAGATTGCTTAAGTTTGAATTCAAAAATTTGGGTTTTCAAAATTGAAATTTATTTCGAGTGGGTATTGTTGGAATAGATTGAGTACATCTTAAGGAGTGTGAATCCCAATTTTGGGATGATCTAGTGGAGATTTTAGGTGGTTTGAATTGAAAATTGAGCCAAATTCGAAGTAAACAAGATGAACATGGAAGAAGATGATATGTGACTCGAAACTAATCCAAATCACCTCCAATTATTCTCAAATTTTGTATATTGACCCATCTATTTGTTTTCAATGAAATTCAATTTTGCCCATTAAAAAGGTCCCTTTTTGCTTAGGTTATTGGAATGTTGTATATTCTTTTTCTTTATATTTCATCACCTTGTTTGCTACCTCATTCATGAAATTTCCTTTCCGTCTTGCATCTAATGTTACTGATCACGCTTAAAAATATGGAAGGAGATGTTTGTGCATGATTCTCGGAGGAAATAAATCCTTATTTTTATCTGATTTTTCAATTTTTATAAGCGCTTGACTAATTTCGGTAAATTTGTGACTAATGGTTAGATGTTGGTAAATTTGAACCTATTTTGGACATTTTCGTAAGATTCTCAATTTACATGTTTAGTTATACTCAGAGAAATCTTTCAATCTCTATTCGCCTATTTTAGTAATTTAAAACCCTATGTTTCTACGAGATTAGACGTAATAAGAACGACATAATAAATTCATGTAATTAATGATTAAGCAACACACACAGATAGTATATTTCTAGTATATTTCTATCATATTTGTGAATCATGTCTTAATGCCTAGGTTCATGAACTTGTCCTATTCAATCTTATTGCAATTAAAAGATCCTTTTTTCAAGTTAAAATCAAAATGCATATATAGTGTCGTATTGGTGATTAAGTAATCAAACAATTAGCCTCAAGACCGAATAAATAACCCAAACTGAAATTAATTCATCAAGAAAACATCAAACTTCAACATTCATGTCAAGATCCCATAACCCTAGAAATTAGGAGTCTAAGCACACGTAGCCATAATAACAATCTCAAATAGTTCCCAAAATAATACAGAAATCATTAGATGGAAGGAAAAAGAAAGAACTCTACAACCAAGTTGAGCTCCAAATCGCCTCTTGCTTCCTCTGCATTCTTCTCAGGAGCTTTTAAATTGGGTAAAAATCCCATTTTTACCATAACACACTCAAAGCTTTTTCCCCATAATTCTTTCTTCACGCCATACTTGCATTATTGCTCGACTACGGCGAGGATGTAAATGACCTTCACAAGGTACTTGCGCTTTAAACTCAATTATCCTGTAATCGCTTTTTCTCGAGGTCATCCAAAGATGCTGCTGCTCGCGCCATCATGCTATAGTGTGACTTGAATTTGGCAGGGGGCCTCCCTTTACCCGATATTCACATGATGGACCGAGACTATGCTGGCCAGGCTTCAAAATTCGTGCTCCTCGCTATACTTATGCCGTAGTGTAAGCTGTTTGTGCTCCAGGTCCTTTGTGGGCGATAATTGCGTAGAGCGCAACTTCCCCGGAACCTCATTTTTATCCATTTTGGTTCAAATTGTTCCTGGATTGCCGTTAATAACTTCATAAGTCCACAAAAGCAAACAATTAAGCATAGTTGGGCATATTTAACAGAAAAAACACTCAAAGGACAGTAAAAATAGGATGCTTTTGCAGTTTTTAGAACATAAATAAATATGCCCAACATCAGTAGGTAATTTGCTTTTGCAGTTTTCACAGCACAAAGGTGGAATTCAAGAAGGAAGACCAAGACCGAAGCTCCAAGGAACAAGCATCAAAGAGCAAAGTGGGCTGCCCCAAGCGAGTGGCGATCACACACCATCACTGGACAGCATAGGGCTATTGCCACACCAGCCCATTTAATTTATTTTATTGAAGTTGTAGTCTAAGGGTCATTTTAGGTAATTATTTATGTCTTATGTAACCCTTAGTATATATAGTTGTTGTTAGGGTCTTTAGCCTTTTAGACTTCGATGATATTAGAACGCTCTTGTAAGAATTGGCTATGCCTTTGTTGCTTGAAAACTACAATGGAGCTTGTTTGAGGAATCATTCCTTTTGACGGATCATTCCTCTTTAGGGTTTCATAAAATTAGCTGCTACTTTGACTCTATAATAGAAGGTATTTGGTTCTCTTTACCATTTATTGGCTATTATAATCAAGTTTATGCCTAACTTCAATCTTCTTTTTCTCTTTTCTATTGCTAATCTTTTTTTCGTGTTTCCTTGCTTATATCACGAAGATGTGGTAAGAAAGAGGTATAGAATAGAATATGGAGTACAAAGGCGCCATAGTAACTTGAATCACTTGGTGGGTAGCATGAAATGCAATTCTAGTGGTTGATAATCAACGGGGGAGGAGGATTATTGTCAGTTTTTATTGTATGTGTAGGGAGTGCGGTGAAGAGAAACCATTTTTATCATTGCTATCCTAATGTGGAGTTTACTTTTCTCGATATGTAATATTAGTGGGATACTCCGAGAAGAGTAGTGGAGACAGGCGGGTTGGAAGAGAAAGAAGCAACATTCAGAATAGCATCATTAGGAGGCCTCTTTTAGACAATCTGGAGTGAGAGGAATAGAAGATGATCTATAATATAGAATGGGATGTGGGGAGTGACGAGATACCTTTAGTTTAAATATTCTTTTGATATAAGGAAGAAAGACCTTTTCATAAAGACAGTTGGGTAGGGATAGAGAAGAATAAGAAAATTATATACACCCATATATTACATACTTTTTACACCTTAGTGCATATCAAATGAAATCCAGTTATTTCTCCAAATAAATAAACAAAAAAGTATTCTGATTATATTTGCTTCCTAGTCCACTTCCAAACAAGTGCAGTATATCATCACATGAAGATGGAAACTTACTCAAAAGCCAGATAGTTTCGCCAAATATCTGGGAATATGATAAGCTCCACATAGAAAGAATAATGAGGAAACAGTCACACCTGATTCTTCAATATCTTCCATTCAGAGCTGATGCATTGTTGCAACTGTTCATTTTGGTCCACAGTTTCAGTTTTGTTGCTGAACTGACTAGCAAAAGTTGCACTGCCAAACAAAGAAAACTGCCAAATAAAAGAAAATATGATTACTCCAAGTATGACCAGTCATATATATATATGCATGCCCAGAGACATACAGACTGGAAAGCACTGCAATATCATAATCAATAGGTATATTGGCACTTCTTTTTTATTAAATTCTGAGATATAGGCCAAGGAACTTAAAAAAAAATTAGCATGCCAAAACTGTAGAATCCAGTAAAACCGAAATGAGACTGACTGGGAAATGGTTCACAACAGTTATATCAGGAATCTAATCTTAGTATGACACTGGTTGCTGTTTGCAGAACTGGCTAGCCATTAACGTACTTCCATTAACTTCAATACTAAAAAATTAGAGAGAGAGGGAGGGGGAGAGAGAGTGAGATTAAAAACTAGAAAATGATATAAGGCATGATCAAAAAACAAAAGCAGTTTTTTATCTTCCGAAGTTTTGGACTGACCAATTTTAAAGACTAAGGAAAGAATTAAGAATGTATACCTACTTGAAAGTCCAAGTATGGCTTAAAAGAAAAGGCAGCTACTTTTAAGGGCAGACTCTAAGTAGGTCGTCTCTTTTAAAGGTTAACAACGTTTATACTCCCGTTAGTGTCTGACAGAAAATAAGAATATGTGACACGTAGTAAACTCATGTAAAGCAGGGGCTGGTGACCACACATACTTTCTGCCTGCTTGATTCGAAACCCTCTGAGCAAAGAAGGTTCGGTGCAAAACTTGACTGTATAGTTTCTAGAAGCAATATGAGATTTAGTGAAACCAAAAAGTTTAGTGATAATAAACTTTTTGATAAAGTTAAAAAAAATTATTTATTTCCAGAATAAGGAATTTAAGAAAGCTTAACAATTATAATTCCTAACATCCATGATTTCGATTTATCGGAAGCTGAGATGTATTAAATTCAATGATTACACTGGAACACTTAAGTGCCTCACCCTTCGACAGCAATAGAACCCTAACATAATGTCTTGCTTCTAATTGTCATTTTGGGCATCTACGACCACCTTGCTCACTTATGTTCTTGAAAATAGCATATCTGACACATGAATAAGAAAATGTGTGAGAACAGAAAGAATCTCTAAATCCGAAATCCAAACTTCTGGAAGAATGATGAAGAGATGATGATGCTATATGTCATTATTCTTAGAGAAAAGTACAAACAAAGAAGAGGCATTTCGTAATGATGGATGATAGATCATTGCAACAGAAGAAAACGCAGTGGGAAAACTAAAACCAAAAAGAAAATAGGGAAAACTTCCATTAGAAAATAACTCAATAAGATTCAACCAACGACTCTTCACGTACCACAGCAAAGCTGACAAACAGAGGTTACTCATTTGAGAAGGTAGTATCCTCATTCCTCAGGATGATACCCCATCCCTTTCATATGCCGAATCAGAAGTTCCATAAATGAATATATTGAATCAGTTTGGTGATGACTTTGGTCCCTTGCAATAAACAAATGCACCTCATTATTTATTTCTATCCAACTACACCCTGTTTCTTTCACCACGCCGTTGCTATCCATTTTCTCTCTTAACTTTTTAACATTGATCCACATGCCTTTAGACGCAAAAATATTTGAAAGTAGGATATATGATCCACTGTCTTTTGGATCAATAGATATCGCCATCGATGCTGCATATTTTCCTAGGTCTATATGACCAGCTTCTCTACATGCACTAAGCAAACTCCTCCACACAATGGCGGCTGGTGGAATGGGCATTTGTTCAATGAATTGCATTGCTTCAACCAGTTTACCAGCCCGACCCAAGAGAGAAACAATGCAAACATAATGCTCTGTTTCTGGTTCAATACCATACCTGGACATGGAATAGAAGTGATGCAATCCTTCTTCGACAAGCCCTACATGGCTACATGCTGAAAGCACTCCCACAAAAGTGACATTGTTAGGTTTACGTCCATCACTTATCATTTTCTCAAACATATTAATAGCTTCCTTTGCTTCTCCATGCTGTGCATAAGTGGATATCATAGAATTCCAACATGTGATATCTCTCTGGAGAGCGGAATCAAACATCCTCTGTGCTTCTTCCAAGCTTCCACACTTGGAGTACATATCAACCAGTGCATTTGTAACATGCGGATCAAAATCTAGGCCGACTTTTACAATCTGGTTATGAAACTGGAGACCGTGGAGGAGACTTACTAGGTTACTAGAAGAAGCAATGAGGGCAACAAAAGTCAACGTATTTGGCTTTTGCAAACAATGCTGCAATTTTAGGAAGAGCTTTAGAGCCTCTTCATTTTCGCACTGTTGTATATACCCAAACAACATAGAATTCCATACAACAATATCCTTCTCATTCATCTCATTAAATACTTGCCTTGCATCTTTAACAGATGAAAATTTTGAGTAAACATCTATTAGGATGCTACAAACAAACATGCCAGCCGAAAAACCAAATTTTATGGTGAGAGCATGAAGTTGCTTACTCAACTCCAAGGAAAAGAGTGAAGCTGAAGCACCAAGCAGGCTAACAAAAGTCAAAAGGCTTGGAAGAATCAGATTATCTCTCATTTCAGCAAATAGTTCAAAAGCTTCATACAGCCTATCCTGCGTTAAACAAGCCTCAATAAGGGCATTATAAGAGATTACATCATGATTAACCATACAGTCAAAAACCTTCCTTGCATCACCAAATGAATCACATTTTGAGTACATATCGATCAAGCTATTCTTCACAAAGCCATCAGAATCAACATTAGCTTTCACGGTATAAGCATGCACTTGTCTTCCCAGATCTAAAGTTTCAAGCGAGCCACAAGAGATAAGTACACTACTGCAAGCAAATCTGTCTAGACTCCAACCTAAACTGTTCATATCTCTAAACATGCTTATGGCTTCCCAGTCAGAAGAATTCTGCATGTACCCAGAGATCATTGTTGTCCAAGAAATAGTGTCAATAACTTCCATTTGATCAAACACTTTCCTTGCAGTCTTAACCTTACCACACTTCATATAGAAATCAATAAGAACATTAGTCATTGTAACGTCCATCTTTGCGCCTCGTCTAAGCACGTATGCATGCATTTCCTTTCCTCCTTCAAGATACTCAAGCGACGAACAAGCACCCAAGATACTTGAAACCATATAATTATCAGGAACAACATCAGTCTCCAACATATTTCTCAATAGCTGCAAGGAAAGTCCACTCTTCCCCGCATTTGCACACGCTGCAATTATTGCGGTCCAAGTGGCCGTACTCTTCACGGACAAATCATCAAAAATTAGTCTTGCCGCACCTATATCTCCACCCTTGGAGTAAAAGTCGATTAAAGACGTACCAACATACACAAACTGATCAAAACCAGCTTTAAGCACAAAACAATGCAATTGAGCACCTTTCACGGCACTACCTAACCGTCCACAACAGCTTACAACACTAGCCAAGAGAAACTCATTTGGGTCCTCCTCATAACTACTTATAAAGTCAGAGAAGACCAATAAGGCCTCCTCATAATACCCACTTTGGGTATACATAGTAATCACTGAAGACCAAGTTATTATATCCCTTTTAGACATTTTGTCGAACAAGGTACGGGCATATACCAAGCATCCGGCTTGTGAATACGACTGGATAAGGATGTTGTTAAGGAAAATATTGCTTTGAAATCCTGAAACAATCACTTGACTATGGACTTCTTTGTAGTGTAATGCGGAGTTAGCTAGCGAGAATAATAGTTTGCTTAAATAGTGCCGTTGGGTTCTTCTGGTACGGGGAATACTAGGATAGTGTTCTTCAAGTGGAGATGATGATGAGACTGTGAAGTGTCTGAAAAGACATTGAGCACTATTTTCATTGAGGGGTTTTGGACAAGATGAGTTAAACTTGCAGCTTATCCGACACAGCTTTCTCATTGCACGGGGAAACATGCATTTTCTACAAGGAAAACTGGAAACGCAAGATGAAGAAGTTCCAAACTTCTCTTTTTGGTTCAAAGAAACAAACTGCAAAATAATTCCATTTTGATTCCTCTTTGAATTAAGGTTCTGTTTTCGAATTGCACCTTGGTGCACGTTGGAATTTGGTTTCGGAATTCGTTTTAGAAGAATTGTTTTAGGGAAAATAGCAATTTAGATCTCTAAATCATACGTTGTTATTATATTTTTTTATCCCTATATTGTTGATTTTAAACCAACTTATAACTAGTACTTCAGTATTTACTCGAGTTTTTTTTTTGTATTTCAGAGCATTCTAAGGGGACGTGTAGTTCATGGGATAATGAAAAAATAATTCCACGATTGAATCTAGAATTATTTAATTTCATATTTGGTTGGATTTTTATTTCTAATATAAGCAATTCTAAGATTAGTTATACTACAATTTTGGTATTTTTCCCGATTAACCATCCCGGGATAAATCAAGCAAATGATATAAAGGCCCTTCTCCATATCTCTTCTCCTTAACAGCTTGTTTGGATGTTGTTATGTATTGTATTGTATCGTATTGTTACTTTACATATAATATTTATTTTGATTGTTACTTTAATTTTATTATATCATATTGTTAAAACGTTGTTACATAACGACGAAAAGTGTCACTTTATGTAACGACGGATTTGGTGTGGTGGCATTGTTACCTTTTTTCTCTCATCTTGCCCTTCCATATTATTAAATAATCATATTTTATCCTTTACCCTACATTTTTTATTTAATAATTCTACTATATATCCTAGTTTTTCTTACTAATGTTGCAAGTTTATTCTTCATGTTATTGGTGCCTGAAATCATCAAACGACGGCAAACGATACAATCTATTCAAATGTTGTATCTATCAAACAATATAATACAATATAATACAGTACAATACATCGATACATTGTGAAACGACATGTAACAAAATATATTCAACTTTATCTATTGTAAAATCAAAAAAATATTTTCTATTATACTTTTGTATATGTCATTTTTAATCTAATGAATTAAATATTTTTTTAAAAAAACTATGCCCCTAAGAGGTCCGGCGGCCATTGTCTACTTGGGCCTCTTTAAGTAGTTTCGAAACTGATGAATTATTTAAGTGCTCAAATAGCTTATGCTTCCACAGGTGGGGGAAAAACTTCCTCTAGTAGTATTATTATTCTTCAACTTTGAGGATAAGGTTTGGGTCAAAGCTAATAAGTTTTTTGAAGAAGGTAGCATTATTTTAATATGCTTAATTTTAGAAGCAATTCATGAAGATAAATATAAAATTTGGGTCAAAGCTAATAAGTTAGACCGAACCCGTAACTCATATTCTAGCTCTACCCATGTTCATGATGTTGGTAAGTATACCATTCAAGAAGGAAGTATATCCGTCAAGCACATCACAGTTGCTCTTCCAAAGAAATGCAGTGTATCGGCATTTTCAAAGACCATACGTCCACGGTTATGCTTCATTTACGGGTGGCATCTTACGAAAAAGGAATGGTGATACCATTCCTTCAGCTAAACCAGTACTACTGCTTTTGGTGATACCCAAAAAACGAAAAGAAATTACAAGGAAAAAAAGAGAGGTAGATCAAGCACCCACAAAAAAGCATGTAATCCAACCGTTGGTCAAAACTGTGGAAGAAACAAGAAAAAGAAAATCCACCAACTAGGGGGACAATTCACCATCTGACTTCTTAATCGTGTATTTGAAGGTAAAATCTCAATTACGCTCCACCACCGCCAAAATTAGCAAAATAGGGAAGAGAAATTCTGTTGACAAAAGATGTCCAGATGGATTCAGGTAAATAAAAATTACAAAGCCATCAAGATACAGAAAACACCGCGAATGATCAAGTCAGAAAGAAAAAGGCATTCTCAAGAAGTAAAAATATGTACTTTATAAACAAGCATCAACTACAATCAGAAAAATTTGTTGTATTGACTTGTGAGAGAATTTCTCAGATTGGAATAAAGGCCGTAGAGGGAGTATTGACGGAGATTCTTCACCTCATACCATGAATTGAAGACCATTTCATGCTTATCTGTGCCGGAAAAGGTAAGTTGTATCCCAAGGCTACAGTCAACACTACCACCTCTATTCTTACAGTTATTAGTCCTGATGGCACAATCCTGATTGTTGAGGCACACAAAGTTGGAGTTGCCTGAGCATGATGCACAGCCATCTCTTTTCCAGTATAAGTTCTCCAGCCTACCCTTTTTGAATTCGAGTACCTGTATAAAAAATATCAGGATTCATGGTAAATTTCTTTAACACAAAATTTGATCAGAGTGCTGCCAAGAACTTGCAGAAAGCTTGTTTGCTCACCAGGGTAAAACTTGTTATGGTGAATGTGCTATTAGCAACAAAAGCTGGCAAAGACCTTGCAGCATACTTCCGACCAGCAAACGCTACCATGTATCCTCCATAAGAATCCTGTTGTGCAGTAGAAGCAATACAGATCAGAGGATGCATAAATGTATTGAACTGTAAACCCTCTATATACCAAACATGCTAAATGAAACATACGAGTAATAATCTACGAATATCACCGAATCTACAAAGCCAGTGAATTGAATACAATTAAAAGCTCATGACAAGTTAATAAATGCAATTTGCTTTGCCACAGAGGTAAGAGAAAAAGTGATGCAGCAGTTGACAGAAAACCTCAACTCAGAGAAGAATAGCCAATTAAAGCACCAGTGCCTACCTCCACAACCCACTCTAGCCCACCCCTCTCCCTTATAACCTCCATAAGAGGGAAAACAACGGAAAAATGAAAAGAATGTTAAGGCTGCAAAAAGAAGGTGCAGGAAGAAAGGGCAGTTGAGAGCCAAAGCTGAACCAAATAAATAAAGCAGCTTTCATAATCATGTTAAGATTATAATTTGTTAAATGTAAAAGTATAAAAAGGAAGGAGAAATACTAAACCAAAAAGAACTTCGAGGAATCTATCACAGTAAACAACATTTCATGTACATAGGAAAGGTTCAAAAAATAGTCTAACATATTCTGCAAGAAATAGCTTGAATTTAAATATTTACGCAAGCATTATAGAAGCTATGGGGAACTTGAGCTGCACTAACAGTTGCAAATTACTGACGTTTGTTTTTGGAGAGGAGCAGGGGTGTATTGGCACTTAAAAATGCACTTACAAATGTATTAAGACATCAAATGAGGTTAAGGTCAAAGATAAACCCTACTAAGGGTGTATTGGCATTGTCCACACTTCTAAAAGATGTAATTTTTCAAACAGAAGCTGGAAATTCAAACTTTATGTTAACATACTTTAGCACCAAAACGAAAGAACACAAAGGTTTGAATAAGACTTCACCAAGCTCCAACCAATTATCCTAGTAATTTTTGCAACTAAATACATGTAGACTTTGAAACAAAAGCTCAAACTTCAAATGTAATGTAAACAAAATTTTGCACCCAAAAAAAACATAATGGTGCTTACAGACCACCAAATGATTCTCCTAGTTATTTTCACAACTAAAAGTGTATTTTATAAAGTCGAGTATTGCTCGTGGACAGTCCCATTTTTACCAATCTCTGCAATGTGTTTCTAACAAATGCATTAAGACACCAAATGATATTAAGTCAAAGAATAGAACCATACGGGGATGATGGCATTGTCTTCATTTCTAATGGAAGTACATTTTTGCAGAAAAGCACGAAATTTAAGTGTTACATACAAACTGTTACGCGCCGCCTTCCTGAAATGTCTTGGAAAGGCGACGTAAGGCTAAGCAACCGATGTCCATGCAGTTACTATCCGCCAATTGGGGTCCCCTCCGTACGCTAGACGAGACTGTCAGTGCCGTACGAGAAAACCGATGTCAAGATCAATTGAGAGGACAGAAAAGAGAATGAGAATGAAAGAAAGCTTGATTGCATTAATGAAAGCTATTACAGAAAGGCAGCACGGTGTCGAGAGGGAGAGACACCAATACAGAGAATTGTTTGCTTGCTTGAAAGTTTGACTACTTGATCCCCCCAAATAATGCTTAAAAAAATAAACCAAAGATATAGGATTTGACATAAATAATCTAGAGAATCATAATGGAAATACAGGAAGTAAAACTACTCTATATTTACAACAAAAAGGACTTAGATTCCTACAAGGTAAAAGCAGGTCCGTTGGCGGCAACCTTGTCTTTAGCATTAGGGTCTGCGCGCGCGGCGCTGGCCGCAGGGCATGGGTTGATTGCGCTAACAACGGGCGCGCACTGGGGCGCAGCCTGCCGAGGGGCGCTGTTGGCATTTGCATGTGGCTGGGCGCTAGCGAGGGCTATTGATGGGGCGACATAGGCACATGCGCGCTTGTCACTTGGAGCGGCCAAGACCACGGGGCCGTCAATGGCGCTAGGCGTTGGGAGGCTTGCCAGGACGCGCACTTTGCACCCCAAAAAAATAAAAAGAGGGGCCATAAATGTGCCTACAAGACTTCACCAAAGAATTCTCCTAGTACTTTCACAACTAGATGGGCCATAAATGCTAATTCTTATGAAAGATAAGAAACTTGTTCACTCTTAAACAAACCCAATGGTGACACTAGAACATGAATGTGTTGAATGCTTCAAGAAAATTGACATGTTGCACTTTGGCAAAGCCTAACTCTAATCTTTCTGTTTAATATCTTCAATTAACTCATGCTATCAAGAGGTAGCATTAACGTTCTGGTATCATGTTTGTCTTTGAGTAAGGTAAAGTACTTCTAGTCTTCTACATTTCATCATTTTTCCTCTTAACTTAAGAAATTCTTGTTTAGTTTGTGTGTCTATTTTATCTTTTCTTCTTTTTGGTTCAAAGTATTTTCCTATCCATTTCTCATCATGTTTTCTTGAGAATTTATATAAATTCCCAGCTGTAGTTGCTTGTAAATCGAAATCAGAATATAGTCATATAATATCTGTATCTATAATTATGTACATTGGTTGACAGAGGCATATATGGTTTATGACTGAAAAAACATATTCTTCACTGATCTATAATTTAGAACATTTTGGAACACCAACTTCTGCATCAGCCAAAATAGATACACCACAGAAGGCAATACTATCAATAACATTTTAACATTACTTTTAGGATATCACCAATTATAGAAAAATTGAAATATAGTTTTACAGTTTATTTATAACACCACAAATCTGTTATTGTAACGTGATAAACATGATGATTTTTCAACATTTAATGTTTCCAGCTAGTAGCACCATTAATAACTCCCCAATGTATTTCTGGTATTAGAAGAAAAAGACACCAAGGTATAGTTAAAATTGGCATGTTATGATCTAAGTAACCTAAATGGTTATAGCACTTTTCCTATTCGAAAGTTTATAGGAACCCGATATTCAAATACTAATAACCAGTCAAACTTATACACAGCTTAAATGATAAATTAAAGTAAGAATGTATATTAATTAACAATGATTTAGTGATAATAGTGTGTCTGAAAACATGTGCCGGGTTGGTTTAAACACCCAATGCGGGTAAGTTTTTAGTCCGTTCAAAATCAAAACAAACCCATTTCAGATCTACCCTGATATCTGCCAAAGCACCCCCTCAATTTTCCCTAAATATACAAAATTTGAGAAAGGTAAATAAAGAGAGGGATACCGGGAAGAAATTGGAAGTGTTGATGGTGAGGAGGGAGATTTCATCAACTTTAGGGCGGAAGAGAGCGAGCTGAGAGTTGGCTGATGAAAGAGAGAGCCTACGATCGCAAGGAGATAATTGGACTGAGCTGCTGCTGTTGATGAAGAATGAATTTCTTGGAGCAAATGCGATGCCAAAGCTGAACCCGTCGGATCTCTGCACCTTCGCATCGGCGCAGGGGGGGTAGACGTGATTGGTATCACTGCGAGATTCGGATGAGAGAGAAAGTGCTGAAAGTGTTAATAGAAAGAGAAGCAGTGATGAGGGCTCTCGAATCGCCATTTGAGGTGAAGGGGCTGAAGCTGAACACTAGAGGAGTCGGAAGAACCAGAACAGCTGCCTTCGTCTTGTAATGCTTCTGGTATATGGTGGCTCAAGCGAAGAGCTTCAGCAGTCGTGAAATATTTTCAATTTGACCATTTTAGAGTTACTTATCGTTTGAAAGATATATTTTAAATCTGATATTCAAAAATACTTGAAACAACTAGGGGAAAAAAAAAAATCAAAGTGGCCCTTAATGTATAGAGTGGAAATACATTTTATTGGTCCTTCGTTCATATTACTTAAAAGAAATAGTTTTCTATATATACAAAAAAATTAACACTTTTGGTCCATAACTCACGACCCGACCGGCCGTTTTGAGTTCTAGCATTCTTTTCTTTGATTTGAGACCTTGGGTAGCTTTATAAAATGTATTATGACTTGCAAGCATGATTGTTTTTGATTTTCGAGAGGTTCGGGAGCGATTTGGAAGAGTAATTCTTAATTTGAAAACTTTAAGGGGAAGAATTTACCAAAGTTTGACTTTTGTGTAGACGACTCTGGATTGGTGATTTGAAGGTTCCTGTAGGTTCGTATGATGATTTTAGACTTGTAAGTGTGTTTGGTTCAGACCTTGGGCGGCTCAGGTTGACTCGGCACTTCTAATGAAGTTTGAATTCATGAACTTAAGAGAGTTTCATCATTTGAATTGATCTTTGGTTCTTACTTTTGATGTTGTTATTTTTTTTTTAGGCTTTGGATATGTCGTGGAAGGTACACGACTAGTTAGTATGGTTGAACGAGATCTTTGGGGACTCGTGTGTTTTTCGGATCATTTTGTGCCATTTTGGAATTCTTGATTTCTAGTGTCAGTGAAGTGAATCGCAAAAGCGAGGCATGTGCCGCGATGGCATAGAAGGAACTTGGAAGGCGAAGTTTTATTCTTCGCGGTCGCGATGAAGAGACCGCGATCACAAAGTGTTGGCTACAACATCGCGGTCATGTGAGCTTGTCCGCGTTCGCAGAGAGAAATGGTCAGTTGGCTATCGCGATCGCGATGTGTCTTTTGCGTTTGCGTAGAAGGGACTGGAGGCGGTGTTGATTTATGCATCGCGATTGCGTAATTGGGAGGTCGCGATCTCGATTAAGGAATCGATGTCAGGGATTTAATTTGTCCAATTTCGGATTTTGCTCATGTTTTTCATTGTTTTGAGTTTTAGAGAACGTGAAGAGGTGATTTTGGAGATAGAATTCACCCATATCTTAAGGGTAACTAATTTTTACTTAATTTTGATCATATATCTTGTTTTTCCGTGGATTTTTACATCTGAAACATGAAATTAAAGAAAAAAATTTGGAGTTTTTGTCTACAACTCATGATAGTATATTTTGAGATTTTGAACATTAATTTAAACTCAGATTTATAATCAAATTACATATTTGAACTTGGTAGGTTATGAGTCATCGGGATTTGTTATTGGTTTTGGCTTTTGGACATGCAGACCGGGTAGACTTTTGTTGACTTTTTAGAAATTCTTCAAAGATCGAACCTTTTATTGATTGGGATCGCTTCCTATAGCATTGTAATAACTTCCTTGGATGATATTTGGCTTAGATTTGCGCGAATGAAGGTTAATAACAAGGTTTACACGTGATTTGAGATTGATGGCTAGACGGATAAGGTAAGTATCTTACCTAATCTCAACTTAAGGGAATTTTTCCTAAAATAAATTTATGTGTTATGTGTTACATGCTTGGGAAAGGTGACGCATATGCGATGTGGCGAGTGTAGATGCATATACCGGGATTATATGTTATGACCCGGGCAATCATTTTGTGTATTTGAGCCCCATTCTCCTATTTGATGCTCCACATATGTTAATTTGTTGATATGTAACTAGCGGGGATGGTTGGTTTAGTTTGAGAAAGGTTTTGGATTGAATTGGAACACTTAGTTTCAAGGTTGGAAGCTTAAGTTATAAGAGTTGACTAGGGTTTAGCTTTTGTATAAACGACCCCAAAATGGTATTTTGATGGTTCCAAATAGTTTATATGGTTATTTTGGACTTAGACGTATGTCCAGATTTTGATTTGGAGGTTCCTAGATTGATTTGGCTCTATTGGCGAAGGTTGGAAAGTTAAAAGTTTGAAAGGTTCATAGGCTTGATCGAGAGTTGACTTTCATATTATAGGGTTCAGATTATTATTCCAGGAGTTGAAATAGGCTCGTTATATCATCTGGGACTTGAATCGGATGCTTGGTTGAAGTTTGAAGTTTATGAACCTAAGAGCTTGATCTTGATCGTCGATTCATGATTTTGATATTATTTTGTGTGATTTGGGGCCTCGGGTAGGGCCTATTGTATTTTAGAACTTCTTGGTGTATTTGGATGGGGTCCCGGGGGTCTCGATTGTGTTTCAGATGGGTTTCAGACCATTTCTCTCATGTTGGAATTTGCTGAGTTTCTAGTGTTGGTGCCTTCATCGCGATCGCGGAAGGAGTCACACGATCGCAGAGTATGTTTTGGTAGCTGGTGTTTTTTTTTCTTCGTGTTTGCATAGTAGAGGTCGCGATCACAGACTGTAGGGGAGCTGAAGCTTCGCGTTCGTGACTATAGGGCACGTTTGCGTAGCTTTGCGTCAAGCCGGGGGAAGGCAGGTGGTTTAGCCTTCGCGTTCGCGTAGACCTGGGTGCTGGTGAAGCGTGATCGCAGGCAAGGGTCGTGTTAGCGTAGGGTCATCTGGTGGCAGTTGAGGTTTTGTTCTTCGCGATCGCGAAGTAGTTCCCGTGATCACAAAGGGTATCGCTGGGCAGATATTTTATGTTCTTATTTTCGGACTTTGAGCTCATGTTATCATATTTTGAGATTGGGAGCTCGGATTGAGACGATGTTTTAGGCTATTTTCACTACTTGGATTGGGGTAAGTGTTCTTGACTCGGATTTGATTATTATTCATGATTCCATCCTTGATTTTAGCACTTGATTGGTGAATCTAAGAGAGAAATTGAGTTTTTTGACAAAACTTTTCTAAAATAAAAAATAGGGTTTTGAACCACGACTCGGAGTTGGATTTGGATGAAAATTATATTTTGGGACTCGTTTTCGAATAGGTGATCGGGATTTATGACTTTTGTCGGGTTCCAGAAAGCGAGCCCAAGTTTACTTTTTGGTTAACTTTTTATATTTGATAAAGATCGCATCTTTATTAATTGGAATCGATTTTTATAGCCATGTTTGATATTATTGAGTTATTTTTGGCTAGATTTGACCCGTTTGGAGGCCGATTCGAGAGGCAAGAACTTTTTAGAATATTGATTTGGCTTTTTTGAGATAAGTATCTTGTCTAACCTTGTGTGGGAAAATACCCCTTAGGATTTGGCCTTAATTGCTTATTCGTGTTATATGAAAAGCGACGTGTACACGAGGTGACGAGCGTATACACGGGTGCTAGGTGTGGCTTATGACCTGATTAGACCTCAGGCTATTAATATGCCTTAATTCGATGATGTACTTTATATTAAACATGCTTAAATCACCTTGTGACTACATGATCATGATATCTACCATTGATTTAGCCATTGTCATGCTTTATGTGTTGAACACCTGCATTTTATGTTATTGTCATGTCGTTGTGCAATTTGTTGATAAGTTGTGAGCTTATATCTTTGATGAAACTTTGGTGTTATTATTTTGTGATAATTGTGGCACATGTGGACATGTTGAGTGGATTGATTGGGGGTGTCAGCACGAGATCTTTGCCGTGCGATTATGATTCTTGTTGCGAGCGTGGGGCAAAATAAGGGTGGCATTTTCCTTGGTTGCCCACGTGGTGAAATAAGTGTGGTGATATACGCATGTGGCGAAATAAGGAGGGCATTTTATTGTTATGTGCACATGCAGCGAAATAAGGGTGGCATTGTTGATGATGTTATGTGATGAGTTGGGGGTGTCTTTCTTTATGTTGTTTATGTATTGCAATGGGGTTGATATTCTGATCATATGTATGTTTCTTAAAATTCCGTCTTGTATTTTTAATGAGTTATTAGTGGAATTTGACATGCTATCATATGACTTCACTTCTATTTGATGATTGTTGACAAAGATAGATTTTTCTACATGAGTTGTTATCACATGTTCTCCGAGATGGTTGATATTATTTCCCTTACATATTCTGTTGCTAGTTATTGATATATTACACAGGTTATTGACTACTCAGTTTCATATGACTTAAACCTCATCACTGCATCACCGAGGTTAGTCTTGATACTTACCGGGTACCGACTGTAGTGTACTCATACTACAATTCTGCATATTTTTGTGCAGATCCAGGTGTTGGAGGCTGCGGATCTTGAGAGTGAGAGCTTACATCATTCGTGAGAATTCAAGGTAGAGTTGCATGCTGTCGCAGTCCCTTGGAGTCTCATCCTTTATGCTGATAATGTTATTTCTTCATTCGAACAGTATTGTATTTTGAATATTCCGTATGTATTCAGTTATAGCTCATGACTCTGTACTACCTAGTTCTGGGGAGATGTATTGAGTATAGCTATTTCGGCTTGTGTTAACTCTATTTCGAATTTTATATTAAACTCTACATTAGTATATCATGTTTTATTGAGTTAATGTTGTTAAATGATAAGATTACCTAGTCTTAGAGATTAGGTTCCATCACGACCCCTTGGGTAGGATTTTGGGTCATGATAAGTTGGAGTAAGAGCTCTAGGTTTATAGGTTCTACGAGTCATGAGCAAGTTTAGTAGGGTCTTGCGGATTGGTACAAAGACACCTGTACTTATCTTAGAGAGGCTACCGAGCTATTAGGAAACATCACCTTCTTTCATTCTTTGTCGTGCCGATTTGTTATTCTAAAGTTTGAATGTTTACTCTTCTATTCTCTCACAGATGGCGAGGACACATTCTGTCGGATCTGTTGAGCATGCACCAACGCCCTGATCACGTCCAATTCACACCCAATTAAAGAGTATGAAACGGTCGTTGCAATTATAAATCTCAACATGAGTCAGGCTCGAGTCCATAGGGAGTTTAAAGTGGTGTTAAGTTAAACACTCAAGAAAAAGAACTTGAAATAACCAAATTTATCTTTCAAGCAAAGATGGGTAACTGTTATCTAAATTAATTACAAAGAGATTTAACTAACTAGTAAGCAAAT